ATATATAATTGCATATACATATATATGTGATACATGCATACATATATATATATATGTATATTATATGACAACATATCTACCTATCTACTTCCCGACACAAAGGAGTTTACTTAGAAACGTTATGTTTTATTATTTATTTATTATTATTATTTTTTTTTACAAGATTCAATGAGGAACCCCCAACCCCCGACATGAAGGAAAATAAAAAAGACAAAGCAAAATACAGGTCGCTTATTACCCCAATTTCTCATTGATAAACTTCAGACATAAAGCTAAAGTTTGCGGTGCATTTTGGTACTAGTAGAAGAAAAGAGAAAAAGCCATAAAGATGTATTAGAATACATTTTTTTTTTTCTCTTCTCTCTTTCTTTTGCTTGACTGACATTATTCCGTCGAGTTGTTTACAAAATGAATTGTCACTATTTACCATATTCCATTAATCCTAATAGATGGTAATCACTCTTATCAAGAAGCTTATTTTGCATGGAATTCTTTAAAACATAATCGGTAATCTAGGATATGTGGGGGAATGATACATAGCAAATCATTGTACGATATTCATTTCGTTTATACATCATTTTATCCCTATCTTTACAAGAATATGGTTATCGGCCGTATCCTCCACTAACGCGTCCGGAAGACACGCCTCCAATGGGGCCTCCGAAGGAACCTCCCACACCGGAGCCTCCGAAAGAGCCTCCTCCTGAGCTGATTCCTCCGAAAGAGCTTCCACCTCCGAAGGAGCCTCCTACTGCGCTGCCACCTCCGATGAAACCTCCAGCGCTTCCACCTCCGACAGCACCTCCGGAGTAGCCGCCGCCAGCAGGGAGGACACCGTGTCCAACGAGGTGTCCTGCGTCAACTCTGCCGCCGCCGACTCCGCCGATGCCGCCAAGGCCTCCGCCTCCTCCGATGAAGCTGCCTCCCCCAACACCACCTCCTCCTCCTCCAATGAAGTTGCCTCCTCCAACGAAACCTCCTACTCCTCCTCCGGAGATGCCGCCTCCAACAGGTCCACCTCCAAAGCTTCCACCGCGGGAAGCATAGCTTCCATCAGCCACAGCTCCACACACCACTCCCAGCAGGACAGCTGCCTTTACCTACAAGGAGGAAGAGATCCTTTATATGAATATATATACAGCATTGTATAGTTATAGACTATAAAAGAAATAAAAGAAACAGTAACAACAAAGGTACTGTTGATATTCAGTCTCAGTACTACATGCGGCAATGGAAGAAATGTTAAATCATTGCACTCTAGGCTTAAAGACGTGAAGCGTTGCTGACTAGATTTACACATCTTTCTTCTGTCGAAACCAATGCATTCAACTCAATGCTTATAGTTACAATCTCTATTGCCACCATCTCTACACACAATAGTTCACGTACCAAAGGACCTGCCATTGTGAATTTGCCCTGTTGCTTGGAGGAGACAGCAGGAAAAGAAGTGTATCTCTGCTTGTTGACTCGGGAATATTTATACCAGGTCGGGCGTGCCACCCGCAAGGCCGCGTGAGGTGCCTAGTGCCCCGCGCTGGCACCACACTGACTGGAAAAAAGCCATCCTATTATTTCCTTTTTGTATTCAGCGTAAGATGAATCATTTTTGGTGTTAGAGTAGGAAGTCATTATATACAGTATCGAGATAGGTAGATGGACCGGGATCCACAGTAGATTTATCTATCCATCTTTGAATATGATTTCCCTCTGAGTGGGAGAGACAGACAAATCTGGATAGATTGAGAGAGAGGGAAAAAGAAAAACTGAGAGGGAGCGAGAGAGAGAGAGAGAGAGAGAGAGAGAGAGAGAGAGAGAGAGAGAGAGAGAGAGAGAGAGAGAGAGAGAGAGAGAGAGAGAGAGAGAGAGAGAGAGAGCGAGAGAGAGAGAGATTCAGGATATGACTTTCATTCAACGAATCGAAAAACATGAACATCTCACAGTCACCGAAAATAGATAAAGAATAATCCTTTGAATATGAGAGGATGGGGATAAAAAAGTAGGAACACATAGAGAAAAAGTGAAAAGAGAAAGGTGGAGATAGAGAAGAAGCGAGGGAAAGAGAAAATTAAATAATAATTGATAAACATACACATAAATATGTATATATGTATATGTATACAAATACCATGAACAACATTTGTTCTAGTTAAAACACTACTAGTGATTGTAATGTTTCTTCTTGTTCATTCATTGATATTATTCATTCTTCGTTCCATATTACAATGCTCATTAATGCCATTAGGTTCTCATAATGATTAGACATGTTTATTCCTTTATTTTGTAGTATCTACCATTAATGATTTTTCTATGATTCATCATTAATGAAGTGTACTTTCCTTAATTTTATTATAATCCTCACTTAAAAGGTTATTCATTAAAGTCACCTTCCATTGTGAGTTAATAGATATCTTCCCATATTGATTATTATTCACGAAATGCAAAATGAAGTTTGGAAAAATACGTAAATACTTAACATTCGTAATTTATTTCATTAAATGAACATTTACACACACACACACACACACACACACACACACACACACACACACAATATATATATATATATAAATACATATATACATATATACATTATATATGAATACACACACATGTATATATCTACCTGTCAATAGGGTTTATGCTTCTTAGCTAAACATCTTTTATCCTTTAAATTTTCATTCATCATCTTCATTCATTCATTCAGCTTCCAAGCCTTGTTGCTAGTGTACTTCCCGACATCAATGGTATCATTTTCTTGCATATATTTCAAGATTCACCGAAGGACACTCCATTCACTGAAAAGGAAGAGAAAATTGGATTTTTTCATAGGCGAATATCAATTTCTCCCTGATAACCTTCAGGCGTAATGTTAAAGTTCGAAGACCCATTAAAAAGTGATCTTTTAAAACGAAATATTCGAAAAAAGGAGGAAGGAAAGAATCAAGGTATGATTCAAGGCCTTTATATATTATATATTCATATATTTTTTGGAGGGTTAAGATGTTATTGTTTCCAAATCTTAACACTTAAAGATGAATCACTTTTTCCCATAGTACATTAGCTGTTGATGATAAAGCTCTTGTTTATGACATCACACAGCTCTAGTTCATTTTAGATTTAGATTTTGAATCCAATAGGAATGAAATAATTTTTTAAATAGTGTTATTTGGTTGAAATATCCTTACTCAGACTCAGTAATGATAGGATAATATAGAGACTAAAGCATAAAACATAGGATGATTTTATTTGTGTATTTATCATGTGTTTTCCTATTATTATGGTTATCGGCCGTAGCCTCCACTAACGCGTCCGGAAGACACGCCTCCAATGGGCCTCGAAGAACCTCCCACACCGGAGCCTCCGAAAGAGCCTCCTCCTGAGCTGATTCCTCCGAAAGAGCTTCCCACTGAGCTCACACCTCCGAAGGAGCCTCCTACTGCGCTGCCACCTCCGATGAAACCTCCAGCGCTTCCACCTCCGACAGCACCTCCGGAGTAGCCGCCGCCAGCAGGGAGGACACCGTGTCCAACGAGGTGTCCTGCGTCAACTCTGCCGCCGCCGACTCCGCCGATGCCGCCAAGGCCTCCGCCTCCTCCGATGAAGCTGCCTCCCCCAACACCACCTCCTCCTCCTCCAATGAAGTTGCCTCCTCCAACGAAACCTCCTCCTCCTCCTCCAGAGATGCCGCCTCCAACAGGTCCACCTCCAAAGCTTCCACCGCGGGAAGCATAGCTTCCATCAGCCACAGCTCCACACACCACTCCCAGCAGGACAGCCGCCTTTACCTAGGAATAGGCAGGGATATTATATGAATACATTGTATAGTAAAAAAAAGTAAAACAAACGGTAACAGCAAAGACCATCGGCATTTAATCTCATTAAATGCAACAATGAAAGAAAAATATTATTACATTCCAACTTTGAAGACGTGAAGCGTTGCTGACTAGATTTACATGTACTTTCCGTCTGACGAAAACAAAGTATTCAAATCAGTGAAACACCACTTATAGTTACAATCTCTATTGTAACTATTTGTACACACAATAGTCCACGTACCAGAGGACCTGCCATTCTCAATTTCCTTCAGTTGGGACAGTAGGAAAAGTGTAGCGCTGTTTGCTGTCTCGGGAATATATATACTTGGTCGGGCGCTTCTTCCACAAGGCCGCGTGAGGTGCCAAGTGTTGGCACTTCACCAACTGGAAGATGCCACTTTCCCCCCTTTTTCGTATCAACGTAAGACGCATTTAAGAAAAAAAAAATATGATGGAGTGGAAAATTATTGTATTTAATATCAAGATAGATTGACAAGTAAATGGATTTCGATCTATCCACATCTTAAGCGAGAGAAAGAGATCGATAAATATGGACAATTGAGAGAGAGAGAAAAAAGAACGATTGAGAGTAAGAAAAAAATACAGAAGGTACTGAGCTTTATTATATATCACATTTATTCAAAGAACGAAAAGCATGATGTACTCACAGCCAACGAAATTAGAAAGAAAAGCCCTTGAATATGAGAAAGAGAGAGGGGGAAGGTGAAGAAAGAAGAAAAGCGAGAGGGGAGGAGAGGGGAATAACGGGGGAAAGGGAAAAGTAAAGAGAAAAGTGAGCGAAAGGCAAATCAATAATTAGATGATATACATACATATGCATTTATTTATAAACACAAACATACCTATATATAAATACACATAAACGTATGCATATACTTTCATACATATGCATATGTATGTATAAATGTCTCTCTACACGCACATACATGTATACATCTACACACATAAATGTGTTCATACAAATATTGATGTATGTATATATATGAACATATGTACATACATACATACATAAATATATATATATATATATATATATATATATATATATATATTTATACACACACACACACACACACACACAGACACACACACACACCACACACACACACACACACACACACACACACACACAACATAGTTATATATATACGTATAAATATTTTA